ACCAAAGCAGGGTGAAATTCTTTTAGCCCTAGCCAGACCCACATCTGTGATTTAATTCTATGTTTTATCCATTAGCTCCCCTTTTCTCAAACACACAGATCCACATAGTTCAACTGTAAAAACATGGAAGTTTAATTTCCGCCCTTAGAGCTGAGGCAGAACCTGATTCTAAATCATTTAAAACTGGCCCAAAAAATGCATGTCTAGCAGCTTCTATTTTGTTAACATCTATAACTAAATCTCTCACATGTAAATAAATATATCAGCAGGCACAAGGATCAACACATCACAAAAGTACAGAACGCTATGAATGAACACTGTGAGAGTCTTCACTGCAAACTCTATTGGTATGTGGAAAACCACCATTGAGCCCAATTTTGAGCCAATTTCCCAAATCTCCATCTAATATGGAATACACCAAGGAGAAACTCTGTCCCCTGTGCGGTTCTGGATTGGCCTAAACCCCCGCAGCCAAATAATCAACAAGACTGGCTATAGATTTTGAGGACTCAGAAATGGGGCCACTATCACTATCAGGATGACATCAAGTTAAATGCTAAGAGTGAGCAAAACCCTAACTTGCTGCTCCACATCACGACGATCTATAGCTGGGACACCGAAAGGTCTTCTGGACTGGAGATATGAGGTCAGATGTTGAAAAACAGAGGGAAGATAATCCAAACAGAGGGGATGTTTCTGAGGCCTATAAGTATCTTGGAATACCACAGCTAAAAAACAAGCAGAGGCCACAAGGAATGTGGCAGTAGTCAAATACTTGAAATGAGTAAGGCAAGTTTTGAGAGGTTAGCACACGGCAGGACCAAAATAAAGGCAATCAACTGCTATGCCTTGCCAGTAATCAGATATCCTGTACTATGTTTTTTCGTACTTTATGTATTTTCTGGATAATTTACATCTTACTACAAGGGGAGTTCTGTTTATCTTTTAGTGCATTAAAGGCACAGATTTTTTTTCATATTTTTTTTTTTTTTCATTTTATTTAAAAGAAAGAAAATGGCCAACATGTACTTTGAATATGATAAATCTTCCCCATGTGAAAAAATGTTGAGTGTTTGATTTGGATCAGAGCTCATCCATGTGTTGGAGTGGCCCAGTCTGACTGATGATCCGTTCAATTTTCTTCGAAACCCTGAACTGGGATGTAGGGATGTCATAATTTTTTACTTTAAAGCTCATAGTTTTCTGTCTGTCTAATTTCAAATAAATTTTTTTAGAAAATGGCTACGGTGTGCTGCATGGTAACATAGTTACCTTGGTACTAAAGTATTTCTACATGGGGTTTGCTTGTTCTCTGTTGTCATGTGTGGGTTCTTCCCAGGTACTCTGGCCACAGTACGTTGGAGACATGAGTGCTAAGTTAACTCGCTAAATTACCCTTAGGTGTGTGTTGGTGGTGGTGGT